AGAATAACCAGTGAAGAAGTATTAGAATAATAGAGAACAACAGAGAGATACTGGATTCCATCAAAATAAGAAAACTAGAATACCTGGGTCATATAACACGTAGTGCAGATATGATTTCCTAAAACTAATAATGTAGGGAAAGATTCAAGGAAAGCGCAGCATATGTACAAGAAGAATGTCCTGGCTGAAAAACCTCCAAGGATGGTTTGGATGCAGCTCAACTGAACTCTTTCGGACTGTAGGGTCAAAAGTTAAAATAGCAGTGATGATTGCCAACCTTCGTCGCGGATATGGCACGTAAAGAAGATTTACGCGGTGAGGAAAGTCCGCTATACAACATCTTTATATACAACTTTTTTAATTTCTTTATAATCTACAACAAAACAGCTGTTTTATGAACTGTCGAATGTACAAAAATTGTTAAAATAAATAAACTTTGTAAATCCATGATTGTAAATAAAAATCATAAAATAATAAATAAATAATAAAATTACTTTATACAATTTTAAAAATACACTCAGGTGCAAAAAAATCTATCCAGTATTATTATATATATATATATATATATATATATATATATATATATATATATATATATATATATATATATATATATATATAATAATAAGTATTATTTGCTGAAAAAAGAAAACATTTGAAGATATTAGTTTTAAATCAGGTATATATATGTAAAAGTATATGTTTAAAAGTATGTCAAGATTAAAATAATGTTTACATATTATCCAAAAAAATCATTTATTTATAGATACATACGCCAAAACTCAAAAATACAAGAATATTCAAAACTTTCTGAAATTAAGAAAAACATTGCTAATAAATCAATATCTAGTGTTTCCCCCTCGGGCCCTTATAACAGCCTGTACACGTCTAGACATTGAGGTAATTAACCTCTGGATATGAAATTGACCCAATTGGTCCCATATTTCTTGAAGAGCCGCTGTAAGTTCAGCCAAGTTGTTTGGACGGGGTAATGTGCTCGAAGACGTCTTCTCATCATATCCTATAGATGTTCTATGGGATTGAGATCATGACTATTCGGACTGTACGGACAATTCCCACCTCCTCTATATATTGGTTGACGATTCTAGCACGGTGAGGACGCGCGTTGTCGTCCATAAAAATAAAATTAGGTCCAATAAAAGGAGCAAAAGGTACCACATGCTGATCTAAAATACTTGTTATGTATCTTGCAGCAGTCATAGCACCTCTATCTACAATAACTAAATCAGTATGGGCTTCTGAACTGATATTAGCCCAAACCATAACGGAGCCCCCCCGATAACTTATTCTTTCCGCAATATTACATTGAAAATATCGCTCTCCGTGGCTTCTCCAAACCCTTTCTCCGCCGTCTGGTGACCTTAGACAAAATCTGGACTCATCTGAGAACAATACATTGCTCCAATCTGCATCACTCCAGTTTTCATGTTCTCTTGCAAAAGCAAGGCGACCTCTGCGATGTTCTATGGATAGTATTGGAGATAGGGCTGCTTTTCTGGATAATAAATTACCTTCTACAAGTCGTCGATGAACTGTCCATCTGCTACATCCACATTTCTCACTTCGCTCAGAGGATTTGCCAGTTCAACTGAAGTTAGATGCCGATTTCTCAAACATGATAAGACCAGAAATCGATCATCTCTTTCGGATATTACCCTTCTACGCACTGATCCTGGTCTTCTTGTGAAGTTACCGGTGTCGCTAAAACGCCGAACTGCTCTTTGAATCAGTTGATCGTTGATCAGTTGTTATCAACAGGTCCTCGTAGACACTTCGTCTCAGGACCATTTTACTCATGTAGAGTCATACGCCGCCATGTTACCTATCCAACGGTAACTTAACCATCACAAATTATAAATACTAATAATGTAAAACAACTTCAAATTTTAAACATTTAAAGGGTTTTTACCCATATATTTTGGTGGCTACTAGCATGTACAACCGTTTGCACTGATGATGGATTGTTTAATCCGAAAACGTTTTGCAATGTGTTTGTGATAGCCCGTTTGGGGCATTTTTATATACCTTTTATAAAGGATTTTAACCAAAATTTTTTTGTGATATATGGTATACAGCCAGCTACAGGAACTTAGTTTCCTCGTGGAATATTATTTTATTTCTCGTATACGAGGGTACACCTTAATTCACATACGTAATTTAATGTATCTAAAATTATATAACTTCAAATAAATAGGAATGGATCGATTTTTTGCACCTGAGTGTATTATTTAAAAATTAAAATACAGAAAAGATAGTAAGAAGCTTCGCGTTAGTCTACTGTACCGCCTACTGTACCACTGTTTTTTTTGCTGTACAGGCCAGAAACTCTACTATAACCACTGCCCCAAGGGCAGTATGGTAGCCCATATTCCGCCACTATAGTTTATTTTTATGAACGAGAGAGTAATTAGCATAATTTTAACTGGTATCTCCGACCACTCCATGGGCGTGCTCAAGATTAATTGAAAAATTACTTTGAATAATTGTAAAAAATAAATGAAGTATTTCAGTGTTATAAAGTGTTATGTGTATGTAAACAAAAGTGACCTCTTTTATCACACACTATATTAGAACTGACTGGCCTACATTAAAAAGGGTTTTAAAAAATTCACATTTTTTTTTAATTTTTAAAAATTACAAAAGAGAAAAAGAGTTTTTAAAACCGTCTAAGGTATGTTAAATAGATGAATAAAAATTAATATTAATATAAAACTTACAGCTACTTGTTACAAATCCAAATCAGATTCAGAAGATGAACTTTCAGAACCAAGATTTATAATAACTGGCTCGATCATTTTATCAGTAATATTGTCCAGCTTCCACATTTTTTCCTCTTCTTTAATAGTGTGATTTACTGCCTTTTCCCAGTTTTCAGGTTTTACATTATTTACGGCCTCCAAAAACAACTGTTTAACATCATGAATTTTAAAAGTGGTATTTTTTCTTGAAACTTCACTCTTTATCTGTGCCCATACCAGTTCAATCGGGTTTAATTCACAATGATATGGTGGGGATCTAAGTACTGTCATTCCACGATTTTTGGCAATTTCATCAATTTCGTATTTTTTAAATTTTTCTTTATGAAGGGCACACAACGAATAAAGTTCCTTTCTTATAGATCCGGGATGGTACGTAATATTTTTTGAACTCAGCCAATTCTGCAAGTCTTTTTTTAACCACTTGGTTGTGGGCAGTCCTTCTATAAGTCTGGAGTGATAACTTGCATTATCCATTACTATTACACAGTTCTTAGGAAGAAGATCTATCATTTGTTCGAACCATTCTTGAAAGACATCAGCGTTCATGTCTTCATGGTAGTCACCAGTACGAGTTGATTCAAAAGTTAATAAACCACCTTCAACAAAACCGTCTGAACTGCCAATGTGTACTATTATCAGCCTGCGTCCCTTTCCTGATGGTGGGTCTAAACCAGTAGATAAGTTATTTACAAAAGCGTGCCTTTGACTTGTAACAGTTTCATCCTGCCAAAATTTATTTGGTGTATGACCCTCGTTGATCCATGTTTCATCAAGATAAAATATTTTTCTTTTTTGGTTTCTCATTTCCTTTATGGTTCTTAGAAAATGTCTTCTCCATATGACAATATCGCTTCTTTCTAATAAAATAGACTTTCTGGGATTCTTTTTCCAGCGGAAGCCTATTTCTTTTAAAAGTTTCCATAACGTACTTCGACTCATTTCTGGGTAATCCTTATCATCTCGAACTGAGACAAGAACTTTATACAACGTTGGAAATTCTTGTCTAAAGAAGAATTCATGCACTTTCCGTCGAAGTCCTTCTTTAAAATGATATTCTATTTGAAATTTTGGTTTCCCTGGAGCATTACGCGGCATTTGAAAACTACCACATTTTTCTTCTTTAATAACTCTGTAAATCGTAGATTTCCCAACACCAAGTGTACTGATAACTAACTCAACGGTCTCATCCACACTTTCACATAAACGTTTGTCTGTAATTGATTTAAAACAATTAAATATTAATGTTGTTTCATTAACTGTTAAAGGACCAATTTTTCGGCGTTTACACGGCACTTCCAAATTTTCCATAACACTAGTATACACAATAAACTGCACCTTGCAACTGAAGTACCTACTTTTAGTGAACTGTTAAGAATTTTGAATACGCCACTTGGACGTTCCTACAAAATGGAAAAAACCCACTATCACATTTTCTGTGGAATAAGTTTAGAAGGTAATTATCTAGTCAATTACTGTCGTAGATTCCTGGAATTAAAGAATTAAATGTTTGATTGTTGAAACCCTTACTTCGTGGAATGCACTCATTTCAGATAAAATAAAACGTTTTATTTTATCTAAAGAATTAAACTTTATTTTGCAAATAGGTAGGTACTTATTAAACTTTTATTGGTTATATATAACCAATAAAATAAACATCTTACATTTCTTGCAAATTCATTAGTACCTGTTAACCTCCATCACTCCGACACTGGCAACCTTATTTAGGGATTAGTAACCCTCACAACTATTGTATTCTATTCTGCTCCAACCTTTATACCTGGTGGTCATACTCAATTTAAAATTGTTTTCCTATATACTTCTGTAAACTTGTTGACAAATATCTGTTTTTCATTGAGTCACCCGTATCAACAGTTTAGAGATTTGCATACATAATTTATTGTTTTATTACTCTCTCATACATAAAAATACACTATAGGAAGTACATACTTTATATGAAATACATTGAAGAAATATTTATATTATACTTTAATTAAAAAAAGTATTTAGACCACTTGCAGAAAACCAGTATCAGTACATAAAGTAACTGCAATGGTGTAAAAAATAATAATTGTCAATAAAAAGGTTAATCGACTTGATTATGTGAAGAATGAAACATGGTACATTTAAAAAGTATTATGTCCAAATGCCTAATTGAATTAATAGTAATCAAATATTTTAAGAATAACTAAAAGGTTATACTTATTAAGTGTAACTGTTTACCTTTGCCTTTGTACTTCCTTCCTTTCGACAACCAAACTTTGTTCATCCAATATAATTTCTCCAGAAGGTCCTATTTTAATTTGCGGTACTGGCATCTCATTTTCTTCATCACTTTTAGTAGTGCTATCCTTCTTTACGGGGTCATCAACAGTTTCGCCATTAGGATCGTCTGCCATCTCCTCCATTGGTTCTTCATTATTTTTTATGTTTTCTTCGTTCCTAAAGATAAAAACAAAAATTACACATATTTATAATCGGTTCCCTCAACTTGGGGATATTCTGACAGAATCGTTGCCGAAACTAAACAACACAAAAATTTCTGCCACACATTATTAATAGCTGAAATAAACTTCTAGTGCTGCAGATGTCTTTAATTGAAAAATGGAGAGTAATCAAGAATAATGGGAGTATATATTCAATAATATTATAATTAATAGTTATTTATTGTACAAGACGATAAAATTGTACTTTATCTTCGAGAGCGTTTTTTAGCGTCGAGACGTCAGTCGAGACGCTAATTATGCTCGAGAAGATAATGCGGTTTTATCGTCGTGTGCAATACATTTTTTCTATAGCAAGACTTCAAGTTCAGGTGAAAAATAGAATTTCAAAGAAAATTGTAATTTTTAGCACAAAAATCGCAATTGTGTTGCTCCGTTGCTAGAGATATGTATGTATGCAGTGACATAAAAAGGAGACAGATATATCATTTAATGAGTAAAAAAAATTCATAAATTAAATTTGAAAAACCTACCAAAAATTTAGCACCCATTTAGCATCCAAAGTGTTTAAAATAGATACATATATGAGAGTCTTATATTATATTTATTTTATAATTACGTTGAAAAGGAAGTATGAAGGATAAAGTAAATAAATTGTTTTAGATTTCCTAAAGATCCTAAAAATTTTCTCCAAGCATTTCACGGCGGATTCGTGTATTACTAGCGGATGAAGTTCATTTTCGATTTTCCAAACCGTTTAATTAAGCAAGTTAAAACTAGAAAATTTTCAGTAAAAAAAAGAAACTGTCTCAGACAAAACAACAGACTCTAAAAGTGAAAATATAAATATAACAACGAGTGAATCTACTACCATAAAGACTCCAGTAGAAATTCTAGAGGAAACTACCTTAGAAAAAACCTTCATTGAAAAAGCGAAGAAATTATCTTGGTGACTTTGTTGAACAAGAATCATCTAACAGAGAACAGGAATATAAAGTGGTAGTAAACAAATTATTTCAAAACAAAAACAAATCAAAATGTTGCAACAACAAAATAGGCTTGTTAAAAAAGTTAATACCTTAAAATCTTTCCTAGAACATCTTAAAGAAATAATATAAAAATCTAATAAAGATAATTTATTTTCATTATTGCAATAAAGGTGAGACTTCGATAAAAATGTCAATAGACTTAAAAGTAAGTTAACGAATCTATTTTATTTTGTGGTCAATAATTAGATTTATATACATAATTTTTCCCCTAAAAGGAAACTTCTATCCACAAGTCAAATTTCTATCCTTTAAATTTATTTTTGATTATCAAACAAGAAGAGGTAGGTACACTTTCAAATTAAACATTTATTTTTACAAAATTACTTTAATTCAAAAATATTCATTAATTCCTTTGCTAAATGACTTATCTTTCATATATTTTACAAAATATTGCAGTTTTATTAAAATTCGTCTAAAACTAGGTAATTTTATTAGTGCTTTTCAAAAAATCCAATCTTAGAGTTCTTGCCATATTGTGACATCACTTGCGCAGAAGGTGTTTGCTTCAATGATTAGGTACAAGCTATAATATTGTCTAAGAGCTTTAATGGTCTAAGGAAAATACAATATATAGTGATGTTAAAGCAGCATGTTCAATGTGAAATGGCTGCTAACAAAAATAAAGCCTAACTAAATAAAGATTATGGGAAATCTAAGAGACATTATCTGGGCCATTGGGCATGTAAGGGAGAGCGCCCACCAAACTGGTGTGGCAAGTAGCACCTAGCAAGTAGCATGCGTCTAGCATGTTTCTTAAAATGTAACCAATGAAAACGAATGATTAGAATGAATGACGTCACTGTCATTTTGGTGTGCACTGAATCATTCGTGTTCATTGGTTACATTTTAAGAAACATGCTAGACGCGTGCTACTTGCCACTTGCCACGTGCCACGCCACTTTGGTGGGCGCTCTCACTTAGATCCAAACTAATATGCATTGAGTTGGGGAAAACATAATCTACAACTAAATAATTTATGAGCACTTGAATAAAAGTATAAGAATGACCAAAATTATGAAGCATCCACATTATTTTAAGATGGCGTAGTTACGTCTGTACATAGTTATTTTTAATAACTATGGTCTACGACCATATGGGAAAATATTTTGGTTCGATACGGAGTAGTGGCTATACCGTACTGAGGAGACCTAAAGGGGTCGAAATACGTATATGCGGCTTGTCGCTGCTTTGTATCGAATCAAAATCTAATACCGTCATTTTGTTTTATGAAGCATCCCTAGACAGAGTTTATCTAAAATCAATTGCAAACAAAAATGGGACAAGTCTTAAATAGAAAAAATATAATGAAAAAAAATTTGTTCAGTTTATCTGGTCAATTCTTAACGAAATACTCCATATTTTCTACTCACGTCATAGGATTTGAATCGGGATTATAAAATATAAGATCTGCCATTTTCAGTCTATGTCTCTCAGGTTTTTTCGCACCAAATCTTCTGTAAAAATCGATACGATCTTCGGCAAGTTTACGGGTTTGTTCAGAACGGGCGATAACTTTTTTGACTTGTGAAGTGAACACTGGATCTCTAGTTCGCTGAGGAGAAAAACATTCTGTGATGGGTTCTGCCACCATAGAAGTCGTTGAGCAAACCTAAAATAAAAGTTAAACTATATAAAATCATATTGTTCTGAAGCTATTTTCTTGTAGCATTTTAAATTAATTACTATTTAACTGGGAATAAGCCACAATACAATACAATAAAAAAGCAAAATTTGTTTAATTTACTGTTTGTATTTTGAGAACGATTTCCGAAGTGGAAATTGAAACGTCAATAAACATATTTTTATCTTTAATTGTGGCTTATTCCCAGTTAAATAGTAATTAATATAATATCAAGACAAACGTAATCAGAAATTCAGCATCATCTGATTGTTGTTACAATTTTTTACTATGTTCGGAAATTTTGATGTTAGTGTTTAAATTTTTGCTAAATTAAATTTATGGTTTTTTTAGCATCTAAGTTTCATTATAATGTAAAAATACCACAAAAGTGAATACTTACTGAATCATTTCTTATCCTATTTATTTTTCGACTTTCATCCTCAGACTCACTGGCACTAAAGCTATGTTTACGTTGTGCTAATCTAGGTATGGCTTTAATTCTAGATCTATTTGCCTTATTAGGACTTGGTGGAGGTAGAGGATATTCTGTATCAGAATGTTGAATATTGCTAAATAAAGGTACAGGTTTTTGAAATAAATTTCCTAAAATATATGAAGAAATATATAAGATACAAAGTATGTCAAGAAACTAAATAATGTTTTGAGTAAAGTTTGGGTTAACAGTTCTTAATGTGGTTAAATAAAAAAATGTTAATCCTCTAAAAAAGACAGGTTGTGATATATGAACACACTAATATATTACCAAACCATACTAAAAAAGTATTCAAAAAAGGTATTATAATAGTAAATAAAATTTGCACAGATTTGCACAAAGTTATTGCAAAATACTTACAAGAAAATCCATTCAAACAATTATAAACAAGCGAATCTGCACAAAGTGGTACACAAAATACAAGTTAATATAAGATAAAATAAAAAAGATGATAAATAGACTAATTTTCAAAAACCGATTAGGGGTAAACAGCAACAATTAGTAAACAGAAACAAACTGTCACAAGAAAAGCTTACACGTCAAATGTAAAAAGCCACACTTTTTAAACTACTTTTAAGTTTTTACAGAGTATTTATATTTGGATCTTATTCTGCATCAGTTGTGTTTCAATACGAAATAATAAGTAATAATAGTTCAATAATATAGAACTATCTAAAACAAACTCTTCAATTCTCAGCTGAACCTATAATTAAGAGTTAATGTCCTAAAACGTTATGTGTATTTTGTATTAGTGATAAGAAGGTCATGAACAATCTGTTCACAAAGATCTGATCTTTTCAAAGACCTGTGATTGATATAATCACATTCTGTGACCCTACCTTTGGAATGACCCTATGAATCATGCCTATGAATGAATGACGCTGTCTAGTGTTTACAAAAGAACTGTGTGATCGCAACATGTTGCTAGGTCAAATGCATGGACCTCTCAATAATTGATTTCAGTTTCCCAGAACAGCGAAACCCTTATGCTGCAAAACTGTAAAAGTATATACATTCGAATTGTCGAGTCAATAGTCCTGTAGTCTGTTCTATTTATAAATTTGGAAATAAAATCCATATTAATTGTTGCATTATCATTCATTCGTGAACATAAAAATATGGAATTTGCAATTTTATTTAACTTTTTCAAGTATTTTTTTATATTGTAATGATTTCTAAGATGATTTGAGAAATACAAATTTTAATGTCAGCCTTAAACTATATTTCATTCTTAAATTTATAGTAACAATATCGAATTCTACACATAAACAACAATATAATTAAAGTTGTTCTAATGAAGCAATCACAAAATAATAAGATTTAACAAAAATGATAAAAAAAAAGATACTTGAAACATATAAGAGGTAGCAGATACTGGATACTATTGTTAATCTTAATGGAAAGATAGAAGGCAAATGAAATTGGTAGGGAGAAATATTCTGGGTGTTACCCATAAATGGGCACTCTAACCTAAGCAAGCTTTTATATGACATTTAACATATGCTTAAATGGTGTCAGAGTTGCCAAGTCTCCAGTTTTTTCATACTCTTACATAATATTATACAAATGTTGATTAAAGTGATATAAAAATTTAATAGTATAGATTTTAGTTAAATTAAAGATAATAATCAAATGCATATACAATAAAATTGATTAAAATGATATAAAAAATTAATAGTATTAATTAAATTATCGTATATAATAGAAATGCTTTTACATTTTTGACCTGGCCATGGTTATAAATAAATACCCTTTTAACGGTCGCCCGCAGTAAACTTCTTAGGAAATGTACAATTTATGATTCACAAGTGTCATTGTAGCGGGTTGACCATTCGCACCTAATAATAAGATCCTAATAGATAAGATTTGGAAAGTGCTAATTTACAATATTTAACTGCATTTAAAGTAACACAAAATATTTGTTTTATACTTATTTAAAACTTGTAGCTTCTCATAATGCAAATTATAATTTCGTAAAAGTAACTTATATTTTAAAAAAATTATTATTTCGTACAAGTAACTTCAGATTTGTAGCATTCATATAGATATTTTACTAAAATAAATACGGCAACACTGTGACGCAGTGCCTTGAGGAAAATATATTTGGTTAGGTTAGAGTGCCCGTTTATGCGTAACGCCCCAAAGGACAGAACCTTACGACGAAGAAAAATATCAGCAAATTGTCATGCAGATTACCATACTATGCGTAACACAGTGAATTTATTTAGGTTTTTAATTATGCCACCTATTTGAAACTTAGAGACTAGTAGTACAGGGATTCATGATAATAATTATATACAAACCAATTATTGTTAAAAATAAATTTAACATTTAAATGTATAAGTGAGAATTATTAGTATCTTACCAATATTGTCTTCTTTGGGTAACTGATTTTGTATATCATAAGTTGCTGATACTTCATCATTTTTATCTTTATCAACATCTTTAATTAATGTACAAGTCAAATTATTAGAACCTTGTTCAAAGTTATCTAATACTTTTTTAGTTGTTTCTACAGTTTCATTTACTTGGCTATCTATTTCTTTCTCTAAGCTTTCTTGTGAAGGTTTCTTCCGGTTTTTAATTGCATTTAATGAAACTGGTGCTCTAATAAACTTTCTTTTGAGTATATTTGTTGGTTTAGGAGGTTCATTTGCTGGGGTTAGGTTTTTATCACAGTCCTTTGAATTCTGTTGCGCTTCATTTTCGATATTCGTTACTCCATTATTAAACGTTTCGTTAACAATTTGCGTTAGTGTTTCGGGTTTCGGAAGATTAATTTCGGTTGCATCATTATTAATTGAATTGCCACTAGTACTATTTTCGAGTGTCACAGCTTTATTTTCGGATATTTTTTCATTTTCACCTGCCTCACTTTCTGTCAATTTTAACTTATTTTCTTCATTAGTAGCTTTCCGTCGTTGAGGAATATTTGCAATTCCTTTAATTCTACTTCGTCTAGAAGCCATCTCCTTAATTCAAGTTCTTCAATTAACAGAGTGCTCTTATCTGCACGTAGTTATGATTCGAATAATCAGTATCTCCATATGGAACCGTTCTAAAAGTAAAATGCACATGGTCTGGTCACTCTACCTAATCACTTTATTTTTGTAAATTTGTAATATTTAAGAAACTTGAGAATATTTAGCCCCACTTTTTTGACATATTTTGTGTTATTTTTCATCGTCTGCTTTCAGTTTAGTTCAGTTCAGTCTTATTTGTTTTGGTATTCAGTTATTTTTCCATTACATGCTATAGGCAACACAGTTTACGTTTTCATAATTTGAATTTTGTAAATGTGGGAATAATTTCTAGATCAATTATATTCATAGTAATCTTTATTTCGAAAATTGTACCTACATATACAGGGTGGTCCTTAAGTAATTATACAAAAAGAAACCACAGATTCTATACTTCAAAATATTACGATTTAAGCCAACTTACTTTAATAAAATGTTGATATTAAAAAAGACACAGGGTCTTAAAGTGGAAATTTAAAATTTTATTTTTTGCTATAACTTTCATGTTTGTAAACATTTATATATAAAAATTTACAGCTGGGTACTATTTAATATCAGGAATTATAATTTGATGAATACTGTGGTATAGCTAATAGAAGGCGCCACATACACCTCATATGTCGCATACATTTGCACTTAACTTTTTTGTTCTTTAAGTTACCGGTATTTTTGATAAAAAATACTAAAGATACATTATTTTAACAAAAAAAGCTATACTTGTTAATAACTTCAAAACTCAACAGTTTTCAAGATAATCGCATTTTACAAATCAACTGCATAATTCTGATTTAATGCATTTTCTCCAGGCAATGAAAGAAAAATAGATAAAAACATCAATACTTCCGAATTTTGTTATAAAATACCTTTAATAAAGTCAATAATTAACGAAATATTAAATAAAATAAATATATCAGCAGGATAATTAATAACAGAATCTGATAAAATAACAGAATAATTGGATTTTACTTTAAACATTTTATTTTAAATAGGTAAAGAAATAATAAATAAGACTAACTCACAATCAATTTAATTTAACTATCAGACGACCGGTTTCGCTTTCTACAATATGCAAAGCATCTTCAGGTCTCGATACAAAGTTAAACAAATGCTGAAATGATAAAAACCCATATTAGGGTGTTGTCTAATAAAGATAAACAAATTAGATGTTATAAATTACAATAATTATGCCAATATTACATGTCTGTGGTTTTATTTAAATGATTGAGTTGAATAAAAGGTATAACATTTTTTTAAAAAGGTTAAACAGACAAGGTAAGACCCACAAATTGTTATAAAATCTCTTCTATTGTAATAAATTACTAAATGAGCAAATAAATAAATAAAATAAAAATTACTTACATCTATTAATAGAGTACCGGCATGTAAGTAATTTTTATTTTATTTATTTATTTGCTCATTTATTAATTTATTACAATAGAAGAGATTTTATAACAATTTGTGGGTCTTACCTTGTCTGTTTAACCTTTTTAAAAAATTTTTATACCTTTTATTCAACTCAATCATTTAAATAAAACCACAGACGTGTAATATTGGCATAATTATTGTAATTTATAACATCTAATTTGTTTATCTTTATTAGACAACACCCTAATATGGGTTTTTATCATTTCTGCATTTGTTTAACTTTGTATCGAGACCTGAAGATGCTTTGCATATTGTAGAAAGCGAAACCGGTCGTCTGATAAATTAAATTGATTGTGAGTAAGTCTTATTTATTATTTCTTTACCTATTTGAAATGGACTGACACAAGCAACACATTCATGATTTTATTTTAATTTGTATTAAATTAAAGTCATAATCAAAACAAACCATAAACTTTTTGTCAAAGTAAGTGTTCACTATGTCCACCATTTTCTTTAATTCATTTGTCAATACATTCCATAAAATATCGTCTCATATTAAATAGCGTCATTGGTTATAAAGAAACTGCTGCAGGATTTATTATAAGTGTTATAAGTAATTTTTTGAAATGTTTATGAATTAAATAATTATATTAATATCTCACCACAAGAATATGACTAGCATGAACAATCCAACGTTCAGGAAAGTTTAAAGAAGTATTTAAATGGTGTACCATCTTGTAGAAACCACATATTTCGCCTTAAGTTTGATGACAATTCTTCCAATAAATCAATAAAATCATTTTGTAAAGAATGTAAATAAATCTCACCATTCAAATTGAAAAGTAATTCGCATATTCGTAAAACATCATTCAAACTTTATATTTAAAATGCATGTCCTATGGTTTGGAACCATTGATAATTATTTTTTACGAATATGCGAATTATCTTGCAATTTGAATAACGAGATTTATTTACATTTTTTATAAAATAATTTTATTGATATATTGAAAGAATTGTCATCAAATTTAAGGCGAAATATGTGGTTTCTACAAGATGGTAAACCATTACATTACAGAGAAAGCGGAGTGAGACAGTATTTAAATACAACTTTCCTGAACGTTGGATTGTTCATGGTAGTCTTGTTCTTGTGGTGAGATATTAATATAATTATTTAATTCATAAACATTAAAAAAAAATATTTATTATTATACTTATAACACTTATAATAAATACTGCAGCAGTTTCTTCAGAACCAATGACGCTATTTAATATGAGACGATATTTTATGGAATGTATTGACAAATGAATTAAAGAAAATGATGGACATAGTAAACACTTACTTTGACAAAAAGTTTAATTTTATTTACTTTAACTATTTGTTAATTTAGTTTGTAAATAAAATGTTTTAATTATGACTTTAATTTAATACAAAACGTAAAATGTTTGACGTAAAATCCAATTATTCTGTTATTTATCAAGTCCTATTATTTTATTCTACTATTGATTTTATTTAATAATTAATTAAATATTAACTTAAAGGTATTTTATACCAAAATTTAGTAGCATTGATGTTTTTCTTTCATTTTCTTTCGTTGCCTGGAGTAATTGCGATAAATCAAAATTATGTAGTTGATTTCTAAAATGCGATTATCTCGAAATCTGTTGAGTTTTGAAGATATTAACAAGTATACCTTTTTTTTGTTAAAATAACGTATCTTTAATATTTTTTATTAAAAATGCCGGTAGCTTAAAGAGCAAAAAAGTTACGTGCAAATATATGCCACATATGTGGCATGTGTGGCGCCCTCTATCAGCTACATCAAAGTATACATAAAATTATAATTTCTGATATTTAATAGTACCTAGCTGTAAATTTTTATACATAAATGTTGACAAACATTAAAGTTAGAGCGAAAAATAAAATTTTAAATTTCCAGTTTAACACCCTGTATCTTTCTTAATATCAACATTTTATTAAAGCAACTTGACTTAAATGGTAATATTTTAAAGTTTAGAATCTACGGTTTTTTTTGTACAATTACTTAAGGACCACCCTGTATACAAAGACGTAGAGCGAAAAATGTGTTCAAATAGAGAAAAAAAGAAGTTACCGAAATCATGTTATATATTTGAAGTCATCAAATCAATTACCTTGTTTGGTTCAATTTGCATGAGGAATTTATGCACATATTTTTTATACTGAGCTAATTTTTACGTTACTTTAAGGTCACGGGGAAATTGATTATTACACAAACTCAAGCAAGAATAATTATTGGCACCTTTTTCTGTACAGTCAATTTGTGAATGGAGTAAATATAATCTCTCTATTGTTAGAGATTCCTCCATATATATTGAAACCACTGTTAAAATACTGTTAGTTTCAAAAACTATTCTGCAAGATGCTCCAAATCTCATTTTTATAATAATTCTGAGCACTAGTTTCTGACAGAAAAATATTTGGTCAAATCCATAGTTTCCACTATAAAAAATTATTATGGATACCACATCGAGCAAAAAGACAAAAAAAGGGAATGTAAAGGTAGTGGGGGCAAAAATATTGTTAGACAGGAAGTGCGATCTTTAGAGGCCACTTTAAACAAGGAAAGAGAGTCTCTCTCCTTGTTTGACATCAAATTTAGTTGGGTTATGTTGTTAAGTGTCAGAAAATTGAAATTTGGCGCATTCGCATTTCCGGACATGACCGCCATTAGAGGCCACTTTTTTGGTCTCCTTTTCATAAGGATTAGATTCCCTCTTTTGTCTTTTTGCTCGATGGGATACCACCATGATGCACCAAAAATTCAAAGTTTAAAAAATAAATTATTTGTAAGTCATCTTGATTTAAGTATTGTGATAATAAGTATAGCATACTGATTGCAACCTTTTATTAAGTAGCTGTGTGTTAATAATTTGTAATATTATGTTTATAAGCCACACATGATTGCAATGAAAATTACATTTTATAATTGTTACGAAGTTTCAATTTCCATCCCGAAAATTGTGTTCGAAACAGATTATTTTAAATTAGTGAGTTGTTATTATAAACTATAGTTGTTTCTAAACAACTATAGCCTAAATAGTTTAAGATCACATGTGTGATCACTATGTTCATAACCTACTTATCAAATTCACATTTTTTACACACATTTAAAATTAGTTATTCAATTACTCATTCAAAAATTAATTTTTAGATAAAAATTTTATTTTGCACATTTATTTTTTAAATAAAATATGCTGCTCATGACATATATGCATGTTTTTTTGGTTTTATTACATCACATAGAAGTAGTTGATAATACACTTAATATATAAATACAACCAGCACAGCCTAACAACAGTGTGAGAATTGATACTAGGGGATAGTGATCCAAATCTCCAACTGGTACAAAAAGTTCAGCATCTTCAAAGTGGGCAAGATAGGAAATATTTTTCCAAACACAACTTGCTTGGGATTTTTCATCACAAGGAGCTTCAACTTTTAATCCATCATTACAAACACTGTTAAAATTATTAGGACACCACATAAGCAAACTTGGTTTACGTAAATTAACTTTTCCAAATCCTCCAGTGATTTGGCTTCTTTGATATCTCAAGTGAATAGGTATTGTGAGCATTAACTTTTTAATTAAAGAGTTATTTAAATAGACGTACAAAATATGCTCGTCGGCTTCATGAGCAGGTATTTCAACATTGACTTTTCCATCTATCAAGGCTTGAAGTTCACCAGTTCTATTCAGCTCAGCAATTTCATCTGGATTGACATACATATCCCTTGAAACATCCAAACGGAGAGCTAGATTGCACTCTGTTTTTAACCACGATTCTGTTGATGGTTCAGAAGTTTCCACTAACCACCATATATCTCTGTGGAATCCATTGTGTTCAATGTTTTGAGTAATTGCAGTTTTCAGTTTAATGCATTCCGGGCGATTACATTTGACCTTATTGGACAATAATAAAATAAATAAAAACGTAAAAACCCATATTTTGCTCATTTTTGGTAATTATAATTTACCTTTTCATTCATCTCTTTGTATATTAGTGTAAAATTTAAGCTAAGAGAGACCATTTGAAATTGTCAAACATTAAGGTTATGTTACTTATTTTATTATGAATTCCCTTCTTCTTTTTTAAGGTTATGACATATACAGGGGGTGTTAGAAATGTTGTACATAAATAAATCATAGAGACAAAGTTATGTTTAAAGGGTTGTAAACATACGCGTTTTAAGAAATCAAAATATCAATAAAGATACAAAATTCCTGATAAAAATTCCATGATTGAAGAATTATGATAAGCAGTACCAATATTTGTTTCCCTAATACGTGTTCTGAGATAAAAAAAAAACTACTCTCTTTACAGTCTGCCTCTAGTTTACTAAAATATATTTAAAAAATATTAGATAAGGTATGTTTAAGGGTCCTTTTCTACATTAATATAAATGCAGCATAGTAATGAAATTCCTTTTATTTGTTGATTCTTGCTACTTATTATTCTAGTTACTATTGACTATCACTTTCTGTTTCTTAAGTTTATTGTTAATTTTCAATCAAGACAATTAGGTTAGGTACACCTTTTTATGTGTATTAACGCATTTCAGTTTAATAATTCCTTTATTTCTGAATTCCAATGTACAAGTTTCTACCGTAAGCCTTTGTCGTTTGTGTAAAGTTGTTTCTCTTACACTCATAGTTGGTCCAATTTCATAGTTGTTGTTTCTCTGATGTGCAATTGTGTAAAGCAAAGAATACGTAAAGTATCTAGTAGGTATTATCGGACTTGATATCATTCTCCACGTATTCATAGTGACAATAACCATTCATGTTCTATAGATATATTTTTTAATTAAAAATTTCTCCCAGATAACTTATGTTTTACGAGGATGGATTAATATAAAACTAGCCTTTGATAGAAAAAACAATAGAAAAAACAAGTTTTTTGGAATTAAATCGATTTATTTTATAAACATAGTCCACTTTTAGCTCGATACACTTAGGACGATGTTCAAATTTTTTTATCCCAGTCGAATAGTACTTTTGCTCGAGATCTTCAAAATAGGCCAAAGTTTCAGCTACGACTTCATCATTTGTTGCGAAACAGCGTCCTCCGAGCCATTTTTTAGGTTTGGAAACAGGAAAAAATCGCTGGCAGCAAGATCTGCCGAATACGGTGGGTGTTCAACCAATTCATACCCAATTCGTGTAATTTTGCCATGGCGACGGCCGATCGGTGAGCCGGTGCATTGTCTTGGTGAAAGAGCACTTTTTGCGTTCCAAACCGGGGCATTTTCGACGCAATTCGGCATCGAATGGATCCAATAATGCTGCGTAGTACTCACCATTGATTGTTTTTCCTTTTTCCAAGTAGTCGATGTGGATGATGCCCTTCGCATCCCAGAAAACAGTCGCCATCACTTTGCCGGCCGAATGTGCACTCTTTGCTTTCTTCGACGGCCCTTCGCCGCGTTTGCGCCACTGTTTCGACTGTTCTTTGAGTTACGGTGTGTAATAATGCACCCAGGTTTCATCAACGGTGATAAATCGACGAAAAAAATCCTTCGGATCGCACCGTATCATCGCCAAAAGCGTCTCCGAAGTGGTCACACGTTTTTGCATTTGATCGATTGTCAGCAAACGCGGCACCCATCGCGCGGATAGCTTTTTCATGTCCAAATGGTAGTGAATGATGTTGTGTACGCGTTCGTAGGAAATGTTTAGGACCTCTATTAACTCGTGTAGCTTAATCAACGATCTGCCATAATCATGTCATGGACTTTGTTGATCATTTCCGGCGTGGTGACTTCATTTGGTCTCCCGGGACGCTCATCATCAAAAACACTCGTAGTTTCTACTCGAGTACATTGTTGCAATACAAGTTGCTACAATGAGAGAGACCACTCTATTGGGCGTTATTGGTACTTTGTCTCTAGTTTCATATTTAATATTTGTAATTATAAAGAAAGAAGAAGAAGAGAAATGCTAACCGGACCAACGACAGAGATAAGATATAGATAAGAGAATGGAGTGTTCAAAAAATGTCGTCAGTCTTATAGCGGCCATCCTACTTTCGGAGTACGGTATGTGCGACAGTTAACTGTGCACAAGTAGGAGAGGGTGGTTTTAGTTGGTACGCAGAATAACAGATACTGGAATTTTGTCACTTTAAATAAACAAAAGCTCAAACTTTAGGGACTTAAAATGGAGGTAGCATAAAAAAATTTCGTTGCCCGACCAAATCTTCCCCCATGAAAATTCTGTTTTAATGTATCTGTTTGGTTTTTATATTTGATATCTCACTACTTTGTCCAGGTTTCCATAGCTGGACAATGTAATTCCAAGGTATTTTATTTTCATTACTTGTTCAGTACTGATGCCATCAATATCTATTTTGCATTTGGTTGGTTCTCTGCTGGTTACTATTGTTTTAGTTTTCTCAAATGGGATTGTCATATTAAATTTTTTTGCTCTTATGATAAGTCCGTGGATAGGTCTTTGCAGACTATCTTTATCTTGGCAAAGCAAATATACCATATATATATATATATATATATATATATATATATATATATATATATATATATATATTATATATATATATATATATTCTTCTATTTTGCGCTAAGGCCTTCACCTCATTCTAAGACTTTCCTTGTTTTCTTATCTCGTCCATGATGGATCTTCTCCAAGTTTGTACTGGGCGACCTTTTTTTCGTTTTCCTTGGGGATTCCACTCTAGGGCAGTCTTTGCAATACTGGAGTTATTTTTTCGGAGTGTGTGACCGATCCAACCCCACTTTCTGGACTTTATTTCATTTACTACCCTCTTTTGTTTGGTCAGGTGTAGTAAGTCTTCGTTTCTGATGATGTTAGGCCAGAAAATACGAACAATTCTTCGTAGACATTTATTAACAAAGACCTGCAGTTTGTCTGTAAGGGTTTTTGTCGCTTTCCAGGTTTCACATCCGTAAAGTAGTACAGACATGACATTTGACTGGAATATGCGGATCTTTGTCCTCGTAGTGTATTCTCCAGACCTCCAAACAGGGTTGAGCATGCTGAAAGCTTGTTGCGCTTTTCGTATCCTCATACGAATATCGTCTTCTGTACCTCCGCTTTCTGTTATGACACTTCCAAGATACGTAAAGTTTTCCACATTTTCAATCTGCATGTTATTAATGGTGAATAGCGTGTTGTTTCTTGCATTTATTCTCATGGATTTGGTTTTACCAATATTGATTTTCAAACCTATTTTATTGGCTTCAGTGGAAAGTGTTTCCAATTGGTCAGCCACATCTTGGAACCTTTGTCCTAACAGGCAGATATCGTCGGCGTATTCTAGATCGCTTAGGCGTGTGGTTAACGTCCATATATATATATATATATATATATATATATATATATATATATATATATATATATATATATATATGTATTAAAAAAAAATGTGTAGTTCTGGTGTGGTGTCTTGGAAACTAAAGATCAATGCCTTATGCAAATTAAAGGCTTTTAAATTGTTGATATTTCATCGGCTGCTAAAGATATCACAGACATCTTGAACATCTAACGATAAAAAAACTAAATGAAACGAAAAAGAAACCTACAAGGAGCTATTAATTAACAGTAAATATAATATTTGAACGTTGTTTACAAGAAAAGTGATACAGACTACAAACAATCATAAGAACAGATAAGAAAGACTTTTTTATTTACTATTTATGTTGTTAATATAAATTTGATGGGAAGGCACTAAAAAAAGGATAACAAGAAACATATATTATAAACAGATATACAGTGTAAATAACATTTGATGTTTACATATTATTTAAACATGTATATATATACATGATGGAAGATAGGCACGTATCTTGAATTGGCTGTACTTGACTGCATCTATCTGAACTGAATATTACATAAAATTGTAAAAATTCTGTTACATATAATAAATACGGCAAACAAGTTTTACACAAATTTTACTATTTCAAAATCATTATCATTTAATATTTTATAGGTCAAAATATTTCCTTTGCCTTCATTGTGAACGTATTTATACAATTTAGCAAATACTGGAGGAACCTTCTTGACTTTAGCAATTGTTCCCAAATCTTCCATGTATTCACCTTGTTTTGTACCCACAAAGTGAGGAGCCTGTCCTTCTGCTTTCCGATTATTCATAAAAGTTTCGAGATCTTCCATCATTTTGTCTTTGCTTATCGAAAAGTTACCTTTAAGATAGGCCAAGAAGAAGCGAATCTAAAATAAAAATTAAAACTATTTAAATAAAAGTAAAAAATTAATTTATGAGGGTCTGTGTGTTGAGCATTTTTTAACATTAGGGCACATTTCGATATAAATTCCTCTCGGTTGATCTAACTAGAGTTTTGTAATTTTTAAAATCCATTTTATGACCTTTGTCGGGATAATGCTGATTTCATTTTAAATTCTTTGTTAATCCAATCTTTACAAGATGGTGTCTTTCGATAAAGTAAATTTGATCAATTTTTGTAATACAAAACTGTAGAAGTACCTTTCAGCTCCATGATTAGTTCGAAGAAGAAACTTTTGATCGTAAAAATAAATGTGATAATGCTCATGAGTCTTTACCGTGACTAAAAATTTCATTTTGGCAAAACAATACTTTCTTTATGGTGTCGACAAGACATTGTGTAAGTAGGTAAGCGCTGAGTTTTTAATGAATCTGGAAAAGAACGACTACTATGGTAGTGTTGCTGGCATTCTTCTTCTTATGGTGCCCTATCCAATTAGTGGATGTTGGTGACAATTCTGGCATACTCCTCTCGATCTTCTGTGGCTCTAAAGAGTGCATGGACATCGAGGTTTGTCCAATCCCTTATGTTTTTAAACCATGAGTATTTCTTTCTTCCGATACCCCGTTTTCCTTCTATCTTTTCTTCCATAATAAGCTTTAAGAACTGGTACTTGGAATTTTAAAATATTTGACCCAGATAAGCAGTTTTTCTTCTTTTTATTATTGGCAGCAATTCTCATTCTCTGCCCATTCGATTTAATACTTTGACCTTTGTTGTGTGATCTGTCCAGGGAATTTTAAGTAGTCTTCTAAATACCCACATTTCAAAGGCCTCCAATCGATTCATCACATTGGCCTTTATTGTCCAGGTTTTTACACCATATAGCAGTATGGAGTAAATGTAACATTTGACAAAGCGATATCGAAGCGTTAAGTTAAGGCTGCTGTTGTTTAGCAAGGTTCTAATATAAGTGAATGCTGTTCTGGCTTTCTCAATTTTGCTACGTATCTCTATGTCTGGACTTAGATCTTCAGTTATCCAACTACCGAGATATCTGAACTTGGGGACCTTTAGGATGTTCTTATTGTTTACTATTATATTTAATTGCATATTTCGTGTTCTACTAGCCATCATTACCTTCGTCTTGTCTATATGAATCTTCAACCCCAGTCGTTCTACTTCAGTGTTTATTCTATCTATTAGTCGTTGTAGCGCATCTTGGCTATCAGCTATTATGATTTTATCATCAACATAGCGAAGATTACTAATAGTCTGTTCGTTGATTTTGATTCCATCTTCAGTCTCACTTAAGGTTATATCGGATATCGTTTCAGAGTAAAGATTAAAAAGGAGGGGTGACAGAACACAACCCTGTCGTACACCTGTTTCGATTGAGAAATATGATGTAGATTCCAGTCCTACTCTCACAAATGCCACTTGATTCATATAAAGGTTCTTTATGATTTTAAGGTCATTCTCATCTATCGAACGTTCCTGGAGCAATCTTACTAATTATGAATGATGAACACAATCGAACGCTTTCTGGTAATCTATAAAGCATAGGAAGACATCTTCCAATGCTTTATGGATGTTTGCTGATCTCTGCATTTCTAAAGTATGACAGTTAAGCTATAAAGTGCTTCTCTTGTGCCAAATCCTTGCCTGAAACTGAACTGTGTGGGGTTAATGTCTCTTTCACATCTGTTGTATATTCTTGTGTGAATTATTTTTAAGAAGAGTTTTAGGACCTAGCTCAGTAAGCTGATCATTCGGAATTGGTCGCAACTATTGGCGTTTGGCTTTTTTGAGATTGGCATAAAGGTTAATTAAAGCCAATCCTGTGGTATTTGACCGGACCCATAAAAGTCATTAAAAAGATCTATCAAGGCGTCTATATTGTCTTCACTCAACCTTGTTAGAACCTATATGTATATGTCGTCTGGGCCTGGTGCTTTTCCCCATTTGCTCTGTTTGATTACCCTTACAACTTCTGACTTCAGTATTTTGGGAGAGGGTTCACTTTTATATTTACTTTCATAGTTTCTTCTAGGGTTGTCTGAGTATAGTTGCTGTGTGTAGTTTCTCCAATGTTGAAGTAGATCCTTGGGATCAGTAATTAATTTATTTTCCTTCACAATACTATTAAAACTGCAAGGTTTAGTATGATCAGTCACTTCTTTAACGAGTTTATGTATGTTAGAGTGGTCATGTTTTTCTTCCAATTCCTCCATTTCTGCACATCCGTTTAGCAGCGACTGTTCTTTAGCTTTGCGACAGTCTTTTCATATTTGTCAGATCAGAGAATTGGTGGTGGTTATACCACTGGTATACGTATCCAAAACGAATGTTTCTCCTTATCTCGAGTAGCTTATTATCGGCTAATTCTTTAAATCAAGAGAGAATGGGAAGTAGACATTTGTGAATGCATCTATTAATATGAGTTAACATGTAACTGTTTTGAATGAAGTCATGTTTTAAAAAGACATTTCTATGTGAATCTTTTTGTATTATATGAGAGGTGTTTTGGCGATAAAGTATTAAAACTAGAATTAACGTATAAGTAGCTTGCCAAACATAACATATCTGACACCAAATAAAATTAAACGATCTTCTTCTTTAAGTTCCATCTATTGAAGGTTGGAAATCATCATAAATATGCGGACACTATTGACGGCCGCTCTAAATAGTTCTGTACCACTGCATTCAAACCAGTCCCTCAAGTTCTTATCCACGACATTCTTCGTCTTCCCAAATTTTGTTCATCGAATTTTACCTTGCCTAATAAGCTGCAATAATAAGTATCTTTGCTCTCTCGTAACATGGCCTAACTACTCAAGTTTTCTTCTTTTGATAGTCAATATTATTTCAGCTTCATTTCCTATTCTTCTAGTAACTTCTACGTTTGATATTCTTTGAGTTCATGATATTCATCAACTTATTCAGATGCACTTGTTTTAATATCCATGATTTCAAGTAATAAAGCAGAGTAGTGAATACGTAACACTGAAGCATTCTTAGGTGTAATCCTAAGCTTATATCCAATCCAGACAACAAAGAAACTTTATAAGTTTAACGAATGATGTACGTGCTATTTCAATACATGTCTTAATTTCTTTGGTTTGGTCTACATTTGTTGTTATCCATGTTCTTAAGAATTTGTTATTTTATTCTCAATTACAGTATCCTCAACAATCAATTAGATTTTTGCATCTACTGATTTAGTCATGACGAGTCCGTATTCATGACAGCATTCATTAAGTCATTGCATTACGTTTTGTAAATCATTGTTGTTATCCGTCATTAATACTGTATCGTCTGCAGCACTCAAGTTACTCAAAACTTCTACATTAATAGATATACCTTCTATTGAATCTGAGAGCGCTTCTTTATATACCGCTTTACTGTAGACATTGAACAGTATTGGTGACCCCTCTCTGGATTTTGATATCTCGGGTGTTCTGGTTGTCAACTCTTACCTAGGCAGTTTGATTCCAATATGGATTAGATATAATTTTCATATCACGACTGTCAGTATTTTTGATTTTACATGACTGTCAATATCTACAAGCTTTTTATGTTAAGCCTTATCAAATGCCTTTTCATAATCTACAAAACATAAGTACATGTACTGATTCATACCCAAACACCTCTGGGTCAGCACATTCAAGCCGAATAAAGGATTTCTTGTGCCCATACCATTTCTAAAGCCAAATTGTGGGTCACTAATCATATTCAAGAGTTTTAACAATTCAATGAGTGTGACTCATTAAAGCTATTGTTCTGTGATCTGAGCAGAATATTGCACTTGACATGTCATCACCCTTTTTCATGGGTATTTCAAAAGGAACTCGTTACAACCAATTGTTTTTAATCTTATGCCATACAAATATAGACAAGTTTATAGTAGAGAATATGTATAGGTGACAGCTTTTGCAAAACTTTCTTACCTGTATCCCAAAAAGTATAAAAGGAAACACTCTGGTCGGAATTCCAATAAATGCCATCGTTGGGTGGTTAATGTTAATAATATGTTTGTATAAATATTTTACCCACTTATTATCTACTTTAATTTCGCATTCTTTTGAAAGAAAGGGATAGTTGTATAAATAACCTATAATAAAAAATAAATACAAAAATATTTATTAAATATTTTTCTATATATAATAAATTAAAATTAGACATTAAAAAATTCGTCAATAACGATATTTAAGTGTTCCTTAAAAAATCGAATCCATGAATTAATTGCTCCTGAAAAAAAAATTGTAAACACTATACTTGTCTCGGCTCTTGATAGTTTTGTGCTTAATTTTTCAGTAGACGCAGCTTGTCTTGGAGTTGGAAACCGGTGGGAGTCAATGAAGGTCAATTCTAAAGCCAATCGGAAGCTTTCGAGTTTCTCCGGCTTTGTACTTTCTTTTGATAGGTACATTTTTATCGACTTTACTATCAATATCAAAGAATATAGACAGACTCTATAATATATTCTTTGGTACTATTCTGTACCTAATCTGTATCTAAAAATAGATTATTATTATATAATATATATATATATATATATATATATATATATATATATTATTATATAATAGACTATCTTATAACAATTTGTGGGCCTTACCTTGTCTGTTTAAACTTTTAAAATTTTTATACCTTTTTATTCAACTTACTCTTTTTGAAATAAAACCACAGCCATGTAATATTGGCATAATTATTGTAATTTCCAACATCTACTTTGTTTATCTTTATTAGACAACACCCTAATATGGGTTTTTATCATTTCAGCATTTATTTAACTTTGTATCGAGACCTGAAGATGCTTTGCATATTGTAGAAAGCGAAACCGGTCGTCTGATAGTTAAATTAAATTGAATGTGAGTAAGTCTTATTTATTATTTCTTTACCTATTTGAAATGGACTCACACAAGCAACACATTCATGATTTGATAATCTTTTACTTATCTTCTTCTTCAGGTTCCTTCTCCTATCGGAGATTGAAAATTATCATCGCTATTTTAATTTTATTGGCCGCGCTTCTGAATAATTCTAATGAGCTGCAACCGAACCACTCTCTCAAATTTCTTAGCCAGGATATTTTGCATCGTCCTGGGTTTCTCTTTCCTTGTATCTTCCCTTGCATAATTAACCTAAGTAATACTGTAACGACTATTTTGCTTACCTCAGGGTAAGGACATGGGGTTGAAGATTGGGCAAATAAAATAATCGGAACTAGTGCGTAAGGCACTCAGTTGGTTGTTGGAGAGCTGGGTCGTGGATAAGTTGAAGATATGGGGGTTGGATTGGGGCAACTACAAAAAAAATAAAGGGGTACTTATACAAATCTCTTGGGACAAACAGAATGAAAATAAACAGGAAACACCTCAAGGAATTTAATATAGGGCGCCACTTGAGGTGCCTAATTATACCTATTACAACCACTAGTTGTAACTAGGGAAATAATTATAAAACTTTAAAAACATATCTTTTTCAAATAGAACTCAAAAAAGGGTTAGTTAAAAAAAAAAAATAAACAAAACGTTAGAAAACAAAATTTAACATTTATTTTTGTGTCACCACAAACAGTTACAACAAACAGTTACAGATTAATAAAAACTTACATGTTCTTTATCTACATAAGATATTGCTACAAAAATTTTAAATGGTTTCTAGGTTAATGAAAAATATTATTGAATTTAATCTTACATATGGAATATCTTTTATATAAAATAATCAAATTAAAATTGTCTTATAACATCAATGGATTAAAGCAAAATGTCATATGTCAACATAACAACTTAAGACAGAATAAATTATGACATTTTTATCTACGACAACATAATATAAAACTTTAATTATTACAAATTCTGTTATTTTAATGAAAGCAATTTTTAATAATGTCCATATAACTTGGAAAAATTAATATATTAAAAGTTACCTTAATCTTTTTTATAATCACTTAACTTTGAAAAACTTGCTACTATCTCTGGATTGGAGCCGCAAGGACAAAACTCTTAACTGGAACAAAAGGAAACCATTTCCATACTGGAACGAAGATCTGAAGTAGATAGAATTGGATCAAATAGGAAAACGATAACAAACTGGTGAGACATCCTATATATTGCTTCAAAATTATACCATATTCTGGTATACTACACAAATTCACATATTTCCACTAAAGGGCCCAAAACAGAAGAACACAAATTTGACGGATAATTTGCGGATCCATACTTGCGATCCACACAGCGAACCAAGTAAGAATCTATTAGGTCACACCTGACTCTACCGGCGACCCAAGTACGAATGACGAATTTAAAAATTCGTTCATATAACTTGAAAATAAACAAAACGCTGAAATAGCAAAACACAACGAAACGACGTAGATATCCTTTTGCGACGTAAAAAAAATATAAGACGACTTCGAATAAAACATTAAAAGAAATTGCCGAAGTAAATATTTTTAAAATAATAAACAACTTTGAAATGGTTTTATTAACATCCAGCAATGCAAATTGAACTTGAAAGATACGAACTAACAAACACGGAAAAATTCTTCGTTTTATTTTTTAAACATATATAAGGAAGTTTCAATATATTTCATATACGAGGGGATTTCAATATACTTCAAAGAATCAATGAAATTGAAAATGCTACAATACGTACTTCTCGCCCCTAATTATATGACCGGATATTTAATCTTTCTAATTTTAACAGTTTTTATGACTTCACATTCTTTCTTCATTCTTTGTAACACCTTTATATTAGTTACTTTTTCAGTCCACGATATTCTGTGGATTCTCCTGTAGCACCACATCTCAAAGGAGTTAAATTTTTTTGATTTCAGACTGTTTTATTGTCCACGCTTCCGTGCCGTATAGTAAAGTAGAAAAAACGTAACAACGTAGCATTTTTGTGCGGATCTCTAGATTAAGGTTACGGTTGCAAAGTAAGTTCTTCAATTTTATGAACGTGTTTCTTGCCATTTTTATTCTAGATCTGATTTCTTTTGTTTGATCTCCATCTTCGGTTAGCCACGTTCCTAAATATTTATATGTTTCGATCGTTGTATTATTGATGATCAGGTTATCTATATTTTGTGGATTTTTGAGAATATCATTGATTTCGTTTTCTTGAGATTTATTTGCAGCCCGTAACTTTCACATGCATTGTATACCTGTTGTATTATGTACTGCAGATCTTCCATGTCACTTGCAAATATGACCGTATCGTCCGCATATCTAATGATATTAATGCTATTTCCGTTGACCAGAATACCTTCCACAATATCCAATAAAGCTTGAAATATCACTTCACTGTAGACGTTGAATAAGAGTGGTGAAAGTAAGCACCCTTGTCGAACTTCTCTAAGTATATTTACTTCCTCTGTCAGTCCTCCTTCGACTCTTATTCTTTTACTTATACTGTGCTACAAATTTAAAGGGGTAAGTAATTAGGAACAAAATAAAAAAGAACCTAGAAATATCAGAATGCGAAAAAGGGAGATAGAAAAAAAGCAAAAGGAAATCTTACGATTTAATATTTACCTGTGCACAGTATCACATCGTCTATGGTTTCTTCTGACCCGTCACTGAATAAAATGGAATGCTGACGGAATTCTTTGATAGGAAACTTTTTCCTAATCCCTTCAGGTATTTGCAACGCTTCGTAAGGTGGACTTCTATGGCAAATTGTTACCTATAATTATATTTTATAAATTCAACTTAGATATTTGGGTATTATTTGCTAGTTAATTCACACGACACTTTTTTTGAAGTCGTTTATTATAAATCAGTCATACTAGAATGATTATACACGTTTCATTTATTCGTGATACCCATGACAGCATCATATTATGATGTTGTCAATTGATGATCAGGCGTTGATTATTTTTCTACACAATAGACGTCAAAAAAGCTTTTAAAAGAATCCAGCATAAAAAATATCATTGTAATAAAATATAGAGCGGCCACACCCTGTAATCTACACAAAAAGTGAAATTCTAAAACCGTCGAAAAAGAAGCGGGGCTTACAGCCTGATCGACAATGCTCAGTTGACGGTACCATCGAAGACAAAGAGCATCAATCAAGAAAATTTCAAGTTGCTTCAATTCAGGTGTAAGATCACACACAAACACACGCATGCTCGCACGCACACATACACACACACGCACACACACACACATAATAGTGTAGGAAGTAATAAAGCTTCAGGCTTAGATAGAATCCCAAACACCACTTTAAAAGCCGTCATCAAAGAATCGCCGGTAATGTTCCTGGAGATTTACAAACATGTCTCAGGGAGGATACTTTACCGCACATGATGGAAACAACAAAGATTGGTGGTTCTCCCAAATAGGAAGAAACCACCAGAGAAACCATCATCTTATCATCCACTCTGTATGCTGGATACAGCTGACAAGATATTAGAACGGATAATCCATCAAAGAATCGAAACAGCAGAGTACGAAAAAGTATTGTCTGGTGGCAACATTGGACATCAAAAATGCTTTGAATTCCGCTAACTGGAATTGCATTATGCGAGCTTTAACCGAAATGGGGGTATCGGCATATCTAAGGAGGATAATGCCTAGCTACTTCACTGATCTACTTTTGAAGTATGACACAAAGTCTGAAGGAATATAAAATAACTGGCGAAGAGCACAGGGCTCTGTACTAGGCCCTCTTTTATTGAATATTATATATGAAGGGTTGCTAAAAATAGAATTACCAAGAGATGCTAGGCTCGTGGCATACGCCGATGAGGTAGCTGTTGTGATCGTCGCAAAGCACTTTGAAAAAATAAATCTCTCGTTCGACATCATCTTCGAGAGAATCTGCCAGTAGATGAACATGAACGGAGGCAGTGCTTATTCCCTGTCGTAAACAGGTGAATGTCAGTATTAACATACCGAATATCGATTTGGGCTGACACCCTCAGAACCCAGGAATCACGGAGAAAGGTCGCATCAGTATATCGTTTGAGCTTTGCTTTAAGAGTCACCAGCGGATTCCTCACTATATCTGAGGATGCAATATACGTCATAGCGGGGATGCTACCTATTGGAGTGGTAGCTGAAGAAAGGAAGCCCCTTTATAGGCAAAGGGAGTCTACTACATCTACAATGTGCCGAGAAAGAAGAGAATGGCAAAACAGCATTAATCAATGGCAATTACAGAGAGATTCCGCAACAACTGGCAGATGGACGCATTTTCTTATACCATAGGTGAATGTTTGGCTGAACCGCAAACATGGCGATGTCAACTACTATCTGACGCAGATGCTCTCAGGACATGGCTGTTTTCAAGCACATCTTTATCGCTTTAAACATGACGATTCTGAAGAGTGCCCAACCTGCCCGGAGGTCAGTGAACTTGCGGAACACGTGTTCTTCGTGTGTCCTTGTTTCAACTTGCTGCGGAATACTCTGGAAGCAGTTATAAAATTCGACCAGAGACTATAGTAGAAGAAATGCTTTCACCGAAGGAAACTTTGGGATGTAGATCAGCACATTCGCGATGGAAGTCCTCCAGGATCTTCGCTGCATTAAAAAGAGACGAGCTGAAAATAGAAACGCTTGGAAGAAGAGAAGCAATGACTTCAATAACATACAGGAAGAGCAATATATAGTTCTAATGATACGTAAAAGTATTTCCAACCCAAAAAATATCACACACACACACACACACACACACACACACACACACACACACACAAGCGAGTGGATGATAGAGAGAAAAATATACATAGAAATATTTTGCTGAAAATATTTTCTATACCGTACAAGTTTATATTCTGTTCTCTTAAGCTTGATAACACCTCATGATAAATTCCGAAATGAGCCCGAAACACTAGAGGGTCGTTCAAAAAATTAAAGCGACTCGTAAGCATTTCTTTATTAGAAATGTGTCTTTAATCGCTATCTTTCGTTGTATTTTCCTAAGGTTATGATATTTAGGTAGCTGATAAAATAGGTTCGTCGGTCAAAAAAAAAAAAAGAAAAGGAAGAATTTACAGATTCAGTGCCGGGAAACTGGGTATAAATGTTTGGAAAATGAAATTTTATTACAATTTTAATTTATTAGCAGTTGAAATGTGTAGTATGATATATTACAAAAAGACTCACATCTAGGGATTCATCAATTTTTTAGTGGAAATATTAAAAAAAAACAATTATTTTGTTCATAACTTAAAAACTTAAACGTCTATTTAGAGATTTGACGTCAACAGACAACTTAAAAAAATATACACAAAATGAGATACGCTAAATTAACATCGGTTAATAAACAAAAAAGTTATTGCAAAATAAACAAGAATATCTTTGTTTTTGAATATTGTTAACAGCTTTTGTATTTTTTATGAAAATTTATTCAAATGACTAAATAATTTATTTAAATAACTTATCAAGTTTGAATTGTGTACAAAAGATGGGCCAGATCAGTTGAATAGTTTTTGCGAAATTTAATTTAAAATAAAGTTAATTTCTGAAAAAGTTGTCTGTTAACGTGAAATCTCTAAATAGACAAGTTTTTAAGTTATGAGCAAAATAATGAGTGTGGGATTTTGATTGTTAACTTAAAAATAGTTCCACTAAAAAATTGATAAATCTTTAGATTTAGAGCCTTTTTGTAATATCTCATATTACCCATTTCAACTGCCAAACCTGTCTATACAGTTCTAGTATAGTGTCGAGTAAAAGCAAACAAACTGTTTAAAGCAATTTCTGTCTATAAAATAACTAATAAGTATGAATAAATAAATATCACAGTTCAGTTATTATATCATATCGTGTTTATCATCATCATCTGCAGTTGTGTCGTTTGGTTAAATGATAATGGGTTCTACTACGCATTCGTTCCATAACTTTTCTTCCTCCATTATCGCATGCTGATAGAATCTCTATACCAACTAGAAGCACCATTGGAGAAATTCATTGCCAAACAAGTTTTCAATAAACGCCAAACAGATCTGAATTCGAAGAAGTCCCCAGGGTTCGACTTAATCACTCCAAGAATTCTAAAAGAACTTCCCAAGACAGGAGTGCAATATTTAACACAGATTTTTAACGCAATCCTAAGAACTTGCAAATCTGTAGAAAAAGTTATGTCTTATAGACCTATCAGTCTACTTTCAGTGATGTCAAAGGTTTTTGAAAAACTACTACTAGGCAGATTACAACCAATACTGGTACAACAGCAGCTAATACCCAACCAATAGTTTGGATTTAAACAACAGCATGTTACCATTGAGCAAATTCACCGAATCTGCAATTCCATAAACACCTTAGAAGAGAAGAAATACTGTTCTGCAGCCTTTTTGGATATCTCGCAGGCTTTTGATAAACTCTGGCACACTGGCCTGCTATACAAAATAGGACAAGTCCTTCCTCTCAACTACTTTGTAATCCTTAAGTCCTATCTTTCCGACCGGCATTACCTTGTAAACGTTAAGGATCAGTGCACTAACTTATATCCAATTAAAGCTGGAGTACCACAGGGTAGTGTCCTTGGACCTGTTTGTACTTTACACAGGAGATCTTCCTACAAGTCAAAACATCGTTACAGCCACATACGCAGACGACACAGCAATCATTGTGGCTCACTCAAACCCGTAGTATATCGCCTCACAGCTGCTCCATACCAATCTCGACAAAGTAAAGATTTGGTTACAAACATGACGAAATCAAGTCAGTACATATAACGTTCACTAATCGAAAAGGTACATGCTCAATCGTCTCAAATAACCAAATACTACAAAAAAAGAATGATGTAAAATACTTAGGTATACAACTGGACCGCCGATTAACATGGAAGAAACACATATTCACGAAAAGAAAATAGTTAGGTCTGAAACTCAGTAAAATGTACTGGCTAATAGGAAAAAGATCACAAATGAATTTGTACAATAAAATCCTAGTATACAAGTCAGTGATACAGCCAATATGGAGCTATGGGATCCAACTGTGGGGATCTACATCAAGATCCAATATTGACATACTGGAGAGATTCCAATCGAAGACCTTCAGCACCATCACAAATTCACCGTCGTACATGCCCAATGAATTCATCAATCGCGATCTTCAAATGAAAATTGTCAAAGAAGAAATTGCCAGTTACTGCCAAAAATATGACAGACGACTGCAAATCCACCCCAACAGGCTAGCGAAGAACCTTATGAGGCCCCAGGCAAACAGAAGGCTAAAGCGCCTTACTCCAAGCGATCTACCAACAAGATTTTAAATTTTTAGATTAAAAAATGTTTTTTTTGTTGTTTTGATGTTTGAATTTCCTGAAGATACTATGGACAGACAAAGTCACCAATGAAGAAGTACTGAGGAGGATGAACACAACCGCGGATTTGGTCAATATTGTGAAGAGCCGTAAGCTGGAGTACTTGGGACATATAATGAGAAATCAAGGGAGATACGAGCTACTCCAATGCATTTTGCAGGGTAAAATTGAAGGAAAAAGAGCCCCAGGACGAAGAAGAATATCCTGGCTTGCTAACCTGAGAGCATGGTATAGAAAGACCTGAACACAGCTATTTCGTATAGCAATCAACAAAATCATAATAGCCAGAATGATCGCCAACGTTCGGAACGGACAGGCACCCTAAGAAGAAGAAGAAAAAATGTTTTCTCTTATTTATTATAAACATTATATTATTCAAAAATAATTTTGTTACTAAAATTATGATTTAATAGGTTATTGTCACTGGACAGTCTCTTGCAAGTCTCTTGTAATCTAATTAAACAATGTACTTATTGTAATCCTTATTACAGATTGTAAATAAATGGCATGTTCAAAAAAATATCGCATGCTGTATATACATTGTTTCCAATTTTCTGCAGTGACTTTCGATAAAGCTTCCTGTAAAAGTCTTTTCACATCAACTAATTTAAATGTACTGTAGTTTTCGCTTTTTCACCTTTTACTTGTATCTATATTAGCTCTATAGGGCAAATTTCACAATGATATGGGAGTAAACGAAGTACAGTTATTCCGCGATCTTTAGCTTTTTCATCATTTACATATTTTTTATATCTTTATTTATGTTGTTGAACGATTTTTATTTATTTAGCGTATGGACTTTCACAGTACGATAAATATACAAATACAATTACAATAATATACACATATATATTATATATATTATTCAAACACTAAAAATAGTAAAAATAGAATGAACAGAATGAATGACACTAAATATTAATGTCCAATTTACATAGCCATTCAATTGCTTCTGGGGAACATTTCGCAAAGTCCTGGAGGTTTCCACGGTAGGCACGATTCAAGCAGTCTGAAACACAATGGCTTATGGTCTGTCTAGATTCTCCCCAATCGCACTGTGGACTTTCTGCACGACCCCACCTGAATAGCGAATCAGCACATTTACCATGTCCGGTACGTATACGATTAAGCCTTGCCCAAATGGACCGGGGCAGATTTGATCCGATGAAACCCTGAGTTGGGGTGGATATCTTAATATAGTCCGATTCTACTGTTGGCATCCATCTTGTTGTCCATTGCCTATGTATATCATAGGAATTACCAATTTTTCGGGCTGATCGTATTGGAGGATTTCTAGATCTCAATCGTTGGTGCTCTTTTGAGATGTCTGGGATATCTTGATGTATTGGTAATTGTACGTTGGCTACAATTTTCTGGTACTCTCTCACTAATGCTGCTGTACGGCGTAGATCTGGTGGAGCAATATTGCTCAGAGTAGGCAGCCATCTCACTGGCGTTGATTTTATTGTTCCAGTGATTATTCTCATGGTTTGGTTAAGTTGGACATCGATTTTGCTTGTATGTGCACTATTTAGCCATACTGGTGCACAATATTCTGCCACTGAAAAAACCAAAGCTAGAGCAGAGGTCCGAAGAGTATCTGCAGAAGCACCCCAAGTTGTTCCAGCAAGTTTTGATATTAAGTTATTTCGTGTTCTTAGTTTACCGGCTGCGTTTGTAAGATGACTTTTGAAGGTGAGTGTTCTATCAAGTGTGACACCTAGATATTTGGGGTTGTTGTTATGTTTGATAGCTGTGTCATTTAGAGTTACATTGAGAGTATCGCCCGCAAGTTGATTCGACAGATGAAAGAGACAGGTTTCAGTTTTGCTTGTGTTAGGACGTAAGCGCCAGTTCTTAAAATAGTTACTTAGTGTAGATAAGTCCTCGTTTAGAGCTCGTTCTCCTGCTTCTTTACTATTATCTTGGAAGCCAATGGCCAGGTCGTCAGCATAAGCAAATTTTCTCGATTTTGTTTCAGGTATATCTTCTGTATAAAGGTTAAATAATAAAGGAGCTAGCACTGAGCCTTGAGGTAAGCCGTTGTTGAGTTTTCTAACGTTACTCTGTGCATCATTTATATATACCTGAAACAGTCTGTTAGTCAGTAGATTGTTTATCAGCTGACAAGTTTTGAGGCAAGGTATGATTTTCATCAGCTTATAAATAAGGCCCTCTCTCCACACCGTGTCATAGGCAGCCGTGAGATCTATAAATGTTATGGCAGATTTTTCGCGTCTTTCAAAGCCAGCTTCAATAAATGTAGTTAAGGACAGCACTTGGTCACAGCAACTTCGTCCTCTTCTAAATCCAGCTTGTTCAATTGGTACAGCATCCTCAATCGTGTTACATATTCGGTTATATAAAAGTCGTTCTAGTAATTTATAACAGCAACTGAGTAAGGTAATAGGCCGGTAACTTTCAGGCAGCTTGTTGTCTTTGCCAGGCTTCTGGATTGCGATAATTTTTGTTCTTTTGAATTCTGGGGGTAGCACAGTTGTATTCACAATGTCGCTAAAGAATTTTTTGAGCCACTGTCGTGTTTTTGTACCAGTATGGACTATAAACTTTGGATACATTCCATCGAAGCTTGCTGCTTTTCCTGTTTTAGTTTGGTTAAGCGCTTCGTTTATTTCATCCAATGAGAAGGCACGTGAGTATTCTGATGTTGCGGGGGTATTTGCTTTAAGTTGTTTAAGAGCTCTTTTTACGGTAGATGTATGAGTTTTCTCAGATGGAGCTCGGGAGTTCTCAATTATTCTATTTTTGTTGAACGATATTCATGAGTTATTTTTTAGTCATCGTATTATCAAATGTGATCTCTTTTTATTTTAACCAATTGAGTATCTCATGCTTTTCCCTCAACAAACTTAATAGTTTTTCAATTAAAAGAGAATGGTATTCTAACTTGCATTATCCATTACAATGACAGCATTTTGTAGCGTATTGCTAACTACTTGAAAGAAACATTTTTCAAATACGCCTGCAGTCATTTCCTCAAGATAATTTTTGGCGGTTCTCGAAGTAAATTGTAATAAACTACCATTTACAAATCCAGTTTCAGATTCAATATGAGTAATTATTAGTCTACGACCTTTTCCAATAGGTGGGTTCAAACCAGAGGAATAACCATCCATAAAAGCCTATCGCGAATTGAAAATATTTTTATCAACCTAACATTTTGAAACAGTGTGCCCTTCGTTTAACCAGTTTTCGTCTAAATCATAAATTGATTTCCTCCTGTTCGGAACTTTTCAATCGTTCTTAGATATTCGTTTCTCCAACAAACAATATAATCTTTGTCAAGATTTAGTTAGATTTTTCCCACGAAAACCCTATTTACTTAAGACACTTTCACAATTTTGTTCGCCCAAAATGCGGTAGTTCATTGTCTTCTGTAATACTATTCCAAATCTTGTCGATGGTAGGTATTTCTTTATGTAAATAAAAAATATGAACTTAACGAAGTAATGCGGGTTAACAAAGTGATCCGATTCCATAAATTTCTTTCTGATGTTTTTTTTTGGCTTGACACTTCCTCCAGCTTTCCTTTCTTTTAACAATCGATAAATTATTGGGTTCCCAATTCCTGGTATAACTGAATAATAATCAACGATTTCCCGAATAGTAATGTTTGGAGTTTTGTGAACTAACGCATCATGCATGTTCAAATAGCTTTTTCCCGTTGAGAATAAGCACTTTTACTGACCAGTTTCTGTGAATTAAAAGTTAACTTTATACAGGCTGTCTAGGAACTCTCCTGACAAACAAAGATCGGAGATTCCTCAGATAATTTTAAGACAATTTAACCCAATTCACCAAGTCCGTAAATGCTTCCTAAGGTAGAGCTCTTTGAAGATGGCGCCTTGTAATTAGTTTTTTTTAATGCCTCCAGAACGACCCAACGAGTTACAAATGCAGAAGTGTTAAGAAGGCTACAAAAGGATTGCGAGGTCATAAAGCACATCAAAACAAGAAAGCTGGAATATTTAGGCCACATTACCAGAGATGATAAATGATTACCAGAGATGAGATATTAAGGCTCATAATGCAAGGTAAAAGATCCATAGGAAGACGAAGAATTTCCTGGCTGAGAAACCTACGAGAGTGGTATAGTTGCAGCTCAGTAGATCTTTTTAGAGCAGCCGCCAATAAGGTACGGAAGGTACGGAGAAGGAACTACAAGAAGAAGAATTGGTAACGCATAAACTTGTTCTTGTAGGTGGTGACATATTTTAATTTTTTTAATTGCCAAGAGCAATAATTATACTTACATTATCTGATCCTTTACGAATGAGTCTACCAATATCAATTCCTGAAGGACCCGTACCAACAATGAGTACTTTTCGATTTTTAAACCGATCTGGTTTCCTAAAATCGTGGCTATGAATGATCGTTCCTTGAAAGTTTTCACTACCGGGAAATTTTGGTATGAAGGGAGTAGAATAATTTCCAATACATACAAAAATGGCATCGAATGTCTTTGTTTCACTAAGTTTAGATTTCAGGTCCTTGATTTCCACTGACCACTTTCCCTTTTCGAGAGGAGTGACTTTGATCACATGTTTAAAAAACTGAAAATTAAAAAGCAGAACTGAATACAATACTAAATGTACATAATAATAAATTGACATAACGAAAGTGTACCGATAGTCAACCGACCGTCTCCCAGTAGTTAATTCAAAAATATAATTATGCCTAAGCGTTATAAATAGCTTATGTTTTAAATATGTGCTCCTATCTTTTGTTTAAAATACACAAACTCTGTAATTTAGTTTCTTTTGCTTATTTCTAATAGTACTGTCATTCTCGACAATTCAATTTTTAATAAATTTTTGTTAGTAACAGATGTAAGAAAAAAACACGTGGAAATTATTTGATTCATTAGAAATAATCCTCATTGGTATACTAAAACAATTTTTAATTGAAGGTGATTACTTGGCAACATCGCACTTAACGAAGCCCTTAACGATAACTTTTCAACGAAATCGTATTCAACTTATTAATTTTACAGAGGCGTACCAAAAAAAAATTTAATTATTTATATATATATATATATATATATATATATATATATATATATATATATATATTATTGTGATATTCAAAATCTTAGTGCGCCAAGCAATTAATTAGCTAATTAATTAATTAATTAATTAAAATCATTTATATGATATGATTATGATTGTATCACACTTTTTAATTCTCTTATCTCAGGGTTATATTCGTGCTTCAATATCTATGCTTTACATGTGAAAGGTAAGGTCCAAAGAATACTGGAATAATAAAAAACATATACGATATAACATTATATATTGAAATAAAATAATGAAATAAAATTCACACTCAAATGTTTTCAATAAACAATATCTCATATAATGATTCTCAAAATTTTGTTCTACGTACGTGAACCTTCAAAATTAATGGTACAAACAATATTAGTTAAAATCTCAAAATCCCAACTATTATTCTAAATCTCCTAATCAAAATATTTATATCTTTTCTAAAGTAATTGTAAAAATTGTGTTATCAATAAAAGAAAAAACTGCAGAAAAACAAAACTATCTCTCTATGATGATGAGTGGTCCAAATCCTTGTTTCTTGTAGCCTCTACACTATCTATTCTTAGTAGCTCCCTAGGTAATCAGCCATCTTACAACAAATTGTTGCAAGTTTATCGTCCTTAATAATCTCCTTTAAATGCACGAATTGTTCAAATTATGCTAGCCTCTTCTCCTCTCGATAAACTGAATCTCGCGTTGGCCTGAGTGAAAAATGACTCTTGGAATATCTTCTCTTTACGATAAACTGAATCTCTCGTTGGCCTGAACAGTGACTCTTGGAATATAAGTAGAAAAATATGACTTACAATCTTTTACTGGATCAGCTTCTGTCAGATACACTAACTACACGAAAACTCACAAACTTTCACTGCTACTGCTTCCTACCTCTGGGAAACTACCCGAGAACAACGGCCGTTCGCCTTGCACCTTTGGAAACCAACTGCCTATTATTTTTTTTCTTCAAAACTAACTAAAGTCTCATTCTCAAACCAACCATCCCACCTTTTTCAATCTCATCCAATCAAAACGCGTCATACATCTCCCATTTCTTCATTTCGATAACACAAACAAATTTTTACCTACAATTATAAAATTTCCGAACATTATTTACAAACTAATCCTTTTCTACCAATTCTTATGAACTAACAAAAACATATCTTTCTAAAATCTATTCTATTGTCCTAATTAGAGCATAAATTTATTTGGAAAACCCGCTTCCATTGTCTAAGATTTCACTTAAGCTCCTCACGTCACTCAAATATATTTTATCAAAGAAAATAATCTATGCATATCTTACGTTTTGTTCAATATAGGTAATCCAAAGATAAAAGACTTTCATTCTTCGAAATGTTTGTAGTTATCTGTATTATTCGACTTATCTGAATTATTTTAATTTTTTGAACTTTAAAATATTTTAAGCAAACCAATATTTTTCTCGATTTTACGTATCATAACAATATATATACATATATATATATATATATATATATATATATATATATATATATATATATATATATATATATATATATATATATATATATATATATATATATATATATATATATATATATATATATATATATATATATATATATATATATATAGGCGGCACACACCCTTCCGGTAGGGATCTATGGAGGAGTATCACCGAGACGCAAGCCCTTATCTCTTTCCGTACTGCTCCACCATAGGCCGATCAGATACCAACATATTCTAGACTAAGCCGCAGATTCATTTAGAATTTTGAACTGCTGCGTTAGCCTTTTTTGTTTTTCTGTACACCGAGCTGGGGATTTGAACTAACATCTCTCGCATTGAAGGAGAAGGAGAAGCCAGTCGCCCAGACCGCTTGGCTATTCGATTGACATTTAAACAAATAAGTAATTACGTAAAAATTAAATCTAAGACCGATTTAATTAATAAATTATCATGTGTCTTTTAACAGGTATCTTATAGTTGTCTAACAAAATAAAGTAAAATTTTATTCTTATTAGAGAGTATCTAATACAGAACTTCAAAAAACAGAAAACTTTGTAAAATACTTATTTTTTTTTCATTAGACTAAAAACAATCTGCAATTTTAATTACAAATCATTACAGATCATTCTCTGCTGTGTGTTGTAAACGTTATATTTGTTTTTTTAACTTGATTTGAAAGTTTCCTTGTGTTTATTTTTTTATATAAATATGAACATATATTATGAAGTTCATATAAATTAAAATAAAGTAAGCTAAACTATTATTATGTGAATGCGTTTATATAGTAGTGCATTTGTTTATTTCAGTAAATTCTCGAAATATGAAAAGAAGATGGCACTAACTACTAAAGTGTTAATAGCTTTGTTAAAAGAAAACTCAGATTGTGAAAATGCTGACTCACTTAATATGGTTTATTTGCCGCTGAGACTAGATTAGAAAGTTTCTGATGTAGAAGACATTGATCTTCTTCTTCTTATTCCCTTTAGTATCTATGCTTTAAAGCCTGTTTCTTCTTCAATATTAGCCTCCTAAATTGTTTGAATTGTCGCACCATCTTTTTCTTGGTCTGCCAATACTTCTTCGTTTATTTGGTGACTTATCTCGTGTTATTCGTACTATTCTTCTGCCATTCTACTGATGTGTTTGTTCCACTCCTGTTTTCATTTTGTCACCCATCCTTTTATATCTTCTATATTGCAGACTGATTTCTATTTCGTGTCTTAATTCAGGTACGCGATTGTGTTGATTATTTCTGTTGCATTAAACAGTTTCGTCAGGTATCTTTCCCATTCGTTTGCAGGTATGTTATTGTATTTCTTGAAGACATTGATGATAATATTATTTGTGAAGAATCAATAAAATCGGATATTGCAGGTACATATGAAATTAAAGTGATTGGGAATTCTGACGATTCTGATTATGATATTCCTCTGAACCACAGATAAAACGTCCAAAGAGAAAACCAGGCAAAAATAGTAAATTCAAATTTATCTCAAGTTGTAACAACAGATATTCATTCATGCTCAGTAGTAATTCAATATCAGTCTGATTGATATTTAGACAATATAAAAGCCAACCATGTAGGCAAGTCATATTATATTGAAGTATATATTCTACAAATATTTATGCATCCCAGAATAACCGTCACAATTTTGAAATGAATAACATAGATTTAAAAAAAATATTAGCATATGTATACTATCTGGTTTACACTCTGCTTCAAGTTGATATGCGTTGGTCAAAGGATGAGGATAAAGAAGTGCATATTATAAGAGAAAGCATGAGCCGGTATATATTTATATTTATAATTTATAATAGTGAAGAAACCGCTACATCAGTGTCACTTAGTACATGGACGTTAATCTAAATTTGCTTTACCAGATGAAACCAGATTCGACAATATTGAATATTGGCCACATTACAAAAAGAGACGATAGTGCAAAAATGTAGGATGTGTAAAAGTAACACTATCTATTTATGTAAAAAGTGTAGAATGTATCTATACCCCGAATATTTCGAAAATTTGCACCTTAAAATTTAATTTACATTTAAGATACAATATGTTCCTTTATTAAAAATTGTACTGTTTTCCTTGAAAATGAGAAAAAAAAATCTTTTTGGTTGTATATTGGTCCTAATTTATGTGTTTTTAATCCAATCTAATGAATTAATTGTCAAATTTGTCTTTGTATATTGAGCGGCCGTTAATGGTTTAATACTATATAAAGAATAAACTGGCCTCAAATTTACTTTACTTACCCTAAAACTATTTTAAAGTTACTTAATAATAAAGTCTATTTAATAAATATATTCCCAAGAACTCACTACGCCTATGCACATATGTATATAATCTGGAAGTAATAAACTAAGATATCATATTTCTCTCATTAACATTCTATCTAAGAACGTAAATATAATAGACCAGCAAAATATTGATAAGTTTACCGATGTTTCAAACCATTTCAAACCATGGTATAATAAACTACATGGTTTCAAACTATTCAATGAACTTGTCTCACTATGCACTCGTGAATCACACCAATTTATATCGTTACGGGGGCAAATTTATCTCCTCGCTTATTTACATGGGCGAAGCAAACACAATAAAAATGACCCCGGTAAAAATTGACTATTGAAATTTTACCTGGTTGCCGCTATCGTTTAGTTAAATTTGTATATTAGTCACCTTTAATTGAAAATTGTCCGACTATATCAGTCTTTGTTCTTAATTTCTCGGATTCACATGACATCCCTGATTCCTTGTTTCCAAGATTATATTATGAAATAAATATATCTAGCACAGGCGTAGCTAAGTTTTAGTTTCGGGGTGAAGGTTTAATAAAATAAAACGAGTAAAAGTACATAAAATAACCCTTATATTCATAAGAAAAATATTAAAGATATAAAAAATCGATTCAGAAAAACTCTTACATATTTTATATAATAATTAAATTTACTATCAAATGATATTTATTTCTATTTTATTAATAATTTATTATTTAGTCTGCTTTGTCGGGTCTATTAGAAGT